ACGGACGCGCGCGGCGTTCGCGCCAGCGCGAATTCCTCTCGAATTCCCGAGCGATCTCGCGAAAGGTGCTCGGCACCCGTAAATTCGATTTCGGCGTCGGGCCGGGGGGAGAACGGGGAGGGAGCTTTATTTCCGGAGTCGGGCGATTTTCACGCCCAAGCTTGAGTCGGCCCGACGATCTGTCTGTACCTGATGCGTTCTCGTCTTCCGGGGAAAATCAAGCGGATCCCGAAAGAGGAATGAGACACGAGCACGAGCCGAGGCGCGTACGCGAATAAATCCGCCGTGCGAACGCTCGCCTCGGCGATCCGCTCGTCGCGCAACTGGCTCTCGTCTGGCTAATTACTTTCTAGCACGAGGAGCCTATCGAGGCGCATCGCCATTTCCTCCGACGTTTATCTATGAATCACGTCGATTAATCGGCGCGCTGCGGCGATCGTCCGATCCTCAGTTTCACTCTCTCGCGGCTGTGACTTTTCGGCGGAATTTCATCGCCGAGGCTCGCTTGCTCCTTGACCTCGGAAGTTGCGCCGAGTTCTCTCCCGGTCTCAAGCGGATCAAGCGTGGCGGATCAAGCGGATTTAACGAGCAGATCGGCCAGGAAGGGATCTTTCCTCTTACTTGCGTACGCGAGTCTCAGGAAAGAAGACTCGGAGACTTCCCTGACATGATTAATTGGTCGGAATCCTCCAAGCGAGACTTTACGTAATCTCAACACTCCGAGCGTGCGCCTCGTCTCTCTAATTCGTTAGACGACGAATGTCCACGACATCGTGCAAGCCCACGACTTTTGCAACATCCCGTATAATAGCTGATAATCCCCCGAGCGATCAAGGTAATGCTGCCGGTAATTAGCGAGATGAGACACGACAGAGCCGGCGCTTTATTAACGGACGCAACGCCCGCCGTAGCGCATCGCGCGCGTATTATTCAAGACTCTGAGAAGCTGCGGATTACGCTATCGCGCAATTAGCCCCTAATTAACATGTAGCAATTAGATTGTTTCTCATTACCCCCGCGACCACGAGCCCGCGTCCGCCCGCCCGCTCTAGCGTCTTTGGAAGAAATCGCGCGGATTCCACGAGGCGACTGCTCCTCTAATTGCATGCGCAGCAATTCCGCTCTAACGAGACGACGTCGGACGCGGAAGCGGCTCTCCGTTCGCCGAGAGATGCGCCTAGCCGGGAATGCAGATGCACCGACCGATGCGATGCGGTGCGATGCGATCGCGAAAGTTGCAACGCCGGCTGCCCGGCCGCTGGAGTTTCTACGTAATGACTCGCGCGAGCGCGTGATTTTTTTCACTCAACATTTCTCTCCCCCTCTCTCTCTCTCTCTCTCTCTCTCTCTCTCTCCCTCTCTTCCTTTCTCTCGCTCGGTTCCCATCGTCGATGGGCGATCACGATTCTACGTCTCGACGTCGCGCGTACCGCTCCTCTTCTCTTCATATTGATCGGCGAGATCGCGCTCGAGGGGCGAGAGGGAGGACGGTGAAATAACACGGGAAGACGCGTCGTCGGTCGTGAGGGAAGCGGATAACCGGTTGTTAAGATGTCACGATTAGGCGAGGAACCGAAGTTGACGAGAGAACACGGAAGAAGGCGTGCTGTCGCGCCGGGAAAGACCGCCGTAATGCCGAAGGAGACAGCGGGAGATTGCAAGCGCAGGCGTCTTCTTACTCGCCAGCGTCGCCTGTCACGCACACATTTTGCTTATCGTTTATTTCATTCAGATCGATAGTCTTAGGATCTCTCTCTCTCTCTCTCTCTCTCTCTCTCTTTCTTGAGAGTAAAATCCACTTTGGAATATTTTGTTCGCAGTGATTCTTCTCTCGGAGGAGTCTGAAAGATATCGCCATGTAGACGCTTTTCCGATCGCATTTTCCTAGTTTCCCGTTATGTGCCGGTACGCGCGCGAGTCGCACTTTACACGACACTTCGCAACGCGCGCGTTTTCCGAGTGCTGCGTGTCGTTAATACGCCTCCGGCATGCAGTTGTCACAGTTTTCGAGCGGCGGTTTACACCGATACGCACGTTCGCGCGATTAATGAGAAAACCCACGTTTTCCCACTTGCGGAAGTGTTGCCGCGGAAAGACCGATTGCTCCGCGCGCATACGCGTGCACATGCAATCCTCGTCGGATACGCCTCGTCGTAATTCCGCATCGCGCAAGTACTCCGTGCCTCTCGCACGAGTGCCCTTCGCGGCTTAGCCCGGCGCGTCGACAACAGATGCTGATTGACGCGCGAGCGGCGAGGGGACGGAGCGGGAGTGATTGACGCAAAGTGTTGTTGCATCATGTTACTTAACCGAGTCGTGTTTTCTTACATCGCGTTTTCTATTTTTCTTCCGCGCTGCGGCGTTCGTGGCCTCGCCCCTTTGACGTCCCGACCCGTGAAGCATCGAGATCCGCAGATCGACAGAGACGATCAATTTGAAGTTTTATCGTCTCGCGTCCACAGGGAAAATAAAATAGAATATAGAATGTGTATCAAGTACTGTGAGAAGAAATAAATTGCTTTGTCGTTTTTAATGAATATGTGTTGCATATTTTCTTTCTTGTAGACGTCAGACGAGAAATTAATTTATATATATATATATATATATATATATTAAAGTTGCGTAACGGCATGTCGAGACGTCTGGAATTCTAAATTTGTTTTAGAATTCCAGACAGAGCGACAGCACTTGACGCTTGAGCGTCGCGTGACGAGAGTCGAGCGCTCAAGCTTCATGCGACGTTGATAGCAAGATGACTCGGGACAACCCGGAAAATTGCACTTCCCTCGCGGTGAGACGCCAAGGTTGTGGGATGCAGTGGCTTGATAAAGTGCTCGCTTCCGACGTAGCCGGGAAAACGACCGCCGATCATATCGTCGAGAGAAATAACGACTAGAGGGTAATCTTGTCCGAGTGATCGGGGTCCCGCATAACGCTCACTCATCAGTGCCAACGATGCGTGCTACATCTCGTGGTTGCATTCTGCACCGATGAGAACTTCCTTCTTCATTCTCCGCTGCATTTTCGTAATTTCGAGAAATCTCGAATTTTCCGCTCACTCGACAGATTCTCTCAACAGATCTCTCTTGATTTCTTCTTTCCTCTCTCTCTCTCTCTCTCTCTCTCTCTCTCTCTCTCTTGTTTTTCTTGAACTCTGCGCTGTGAGGCGCGAGAAGCGCGTTGGGAGCTTGCGCGACATGCAATGCGGGTGAACTCGTGGAAAATCAAGAAGTGAAATAATCGTCGGCTGTGTTTTCCGTTGCTTTCGTGTTTCTCGCGGTCGCAAACTCTCGAATTCTTCGACTCGTTCGGCGACTGCAAAAATCCTTTACATCGCGTCTTTCTCTCTCTCTCTCTCTCTCTCTCCCTGTTTTTCTTTTAATGTTAATTACGTAGTAAATATAGTACTGCTAAACAAATATCGCCGCTTTGATACTCTGGTCGAACGACGAGACAGAGAGTTTCTGAAATTCCTCTCGAATCTGCTCGGCTGAGTGAAGTCGCGTGTTGCAACTTTCCCGATCCGATCATCGGCAGAATCAGCGATAAAAGCGAGAACGCGCGGGATTAAGGTTCCGCGCTTATCTGCGCGGAAGTATACATTAAACACGCGTTTAATAAGGCGCGGCATAATTCAAAACGATTTTTTCATGCAATTATTATCGTTCTAATTAACATATCGTTTAGCCCCGCGCACGTTCCGCGACTGCAAAAGTGAGCGAGGCGGAAGCGATAAAACGCGGCTCTCGCGCTCGAAGAAAAAAAAAAGAAACAACGGCCGAGCTAATCGACATTGCAAACAGGTCCGGCGTTCGGGATTTCCGCGTGACCTCGAACTTCCTTGTACGAAACGTGGAATCGATCTGTGCTCGGCGACCAATTTGCACGGGCGGCGTGTAGTCTCTCCTCGCTCACGGCGACTGCTGTTAGATCGGCCCGGTAAACGGTGGAAGGCGCACGCCTACGTAGATGTGGGCCTGTCTCTGGAGAAAGTGCGCGTTACTCGCCTATAATACTACGCTATCTACAGTGCCACCGTTCCTTCTTCCTTCTTCCCCCGCGTCGACGCGTCGTCGCAACGCGAGAGTCCTTCCGAAATCCGCGGAGTTCTGGCCGAAGCTGAACTCGAGGCGGTTCGATAAAATCGTCGACTGAAGGGAGGGAAAGCCGAGTGGCTCGAAGGGAGCAGGCCATTTCCAACAGCGGTCGTACGCAATTCGGCTTTCGAAGAAGCAGAAGCTGTTGGCCGATGAAGAGGAGAGGAAAGAAGACATATAAGCGTGTAACAAACAGCGACGAGGACGACGATTGCACAGCGTTGCTTCAACGCCGGCCTGAGTAGCGGACGTGCCGCGACTCCGAGCACGTGGCTCGAATGGAAATCGACCTGCGAATGCGCTCGCTCGCTCAATCTCGCGTTTCCCAACGCGTCGCGGCCGGGCCGAGCCCTGGCAATCTCCCGCGAATTAGCTGAGCAAAATAACGCGAAGCATGTGCGCGCCATTTCGCAGGTCCAAAACTCGCGAGCTAATTTCTCGCCGCGCTCAATCGCCCCGGTGTGCACCGGCGACACACGATTTCATCAAGGCCGCGAGAGTAGTGACACGATTGCCCAGTTGGGAAGCGAGCCAGTTGGAGGAGCGTTTTCGCGTATTTTCGAGCACCGATGCACCTCCGATGCGCGATGAATTTCCCGAATTGAGTCGTCGCCGCGCCGCGGCAGAGTCATTTCGACTCGCGTGCGTCAGCGACTGCGCTTCCGTCGCGTTCTCGCGAATCATTCGCGAGGCTCGTCCTACCATTTACTGGCGCTGGTCTCGCGTCTGCTGATCGTTCGAAGAACGGTTCGAGACCGGCTCGCGAATCGGCTGTCAACGACCTCCTCGTGCGCGTGGCTCGACGCCACGCTGACGTCGTTCTTGCAGAACGCGCGACGCGTCGCGTCGCTTTCGCAGGCGACGGACGCGTCCGCGCGATCCGCGGCGCGATACGACACTCACATTTTCGCAGTCGTCTTCTCATGTCACGATCCTCTCAGGCCATCCCGCAGTCTATCGATCCATCGCTCACGGTCCCCGATTGATCGTCACGTGCACCTCCACACACGTGCTGCTCGCGAGCTGCGCGCTCGGCTTTGTTCACATCACCCTCGGCGAGCCACACGCCGGACGGGGTTGGCGCGGTGATTTCGCGGTCCAGGGCGGACGTCGGCCGCGGGATGGAAGCGTGGATGGATCCGAGCGAGTGTTCCTGGCGAGGCGAGGCGAGTCGAGGCGAGGCGGGACAAGGGAAACGCGCGAGAGCTGATCGACGCTGACTCGAGAGAGCCGAACGGCAACGGGAGAGAGGGACAAAACGAAACGCTTCGCGGTGAGAGGCTGGTGGCCGACTGCTCGAATGCACACGGCGGATTCCACTTGCTCCGGAATACTCGCCCACCACCGCCGACTACCGCTCGGGCTACCTGGTGATGGCCGTGGGTTCATCCGGGGGCATGCAGCAATTGGACTTCGCTTCGAGCCGACCTCGTTAAAGCGCGCGTCCGCTGCCATGGCGGAGGTGTCAAGAGACTCGGCCTTACTCTCACAAACAAAGCCGGACGACCGGGAAAAGCGCGCGGTGGCTCGATTGTGACGAATCGATCAGGAGTAAAACGCGCCGATACACCAACAGACGCGGTAGAGCGAAACCCGAAGCGAACGCGGAAGTCCGCGCCGCGCCGCGCCGCGCCGGCCTGCGTGCACCAAGTGGCGGTATTTCAAGATAAACGAGCGACAACTACGGCTACGATGAAGCTCTTTTCTGCTTGCGACACACGTGTTCGCACGGTCGTTCACTCCGTGTCTTATTTCCCGACGCGCGCGCGCGCGCGCGCGATTATTTCGTATCCCCGCCGAGGAGTCTGGGAGGATACACGTCGTGTATCAGAAGGCATATGAGTAGAAAGTTCCGATCTTTTCTCCTTTCGGTCAAGATCGTCCTCGCATCACCTCTCGAGATATCGCTTCCGGAATAACGGCGCGCCGCTCTAATAGCTCACAGAGACGGCTGGAAAGCGCGTAATTAATTGCGGGTATAGTGACGTCTCGCGTAATGAAGGCGTAATGCTTCGTGAACGCGTTTTATTTCTATGTACATGTCTCTTATCATAAGTAATACGATTATTCTATAGTCTTACTATTATATCTATCCGGTAATACGCATTAAGCGGTGGAGTATCTGTGTGCGTATGCGTATGTATAAATACGTACGCGCTCGTTAGCAATTAAATAGATCGCGTTGAATTTTACTTAATATAAACATTTTTTCGATCTAAACTATTCGATATCTTTCTCTCTCTCTCACACACACACACACACACACACACACACACACTTGTTTCACACACTCGGGAAACGTTTGCCCCTCGTCCATCATGAAAGTTTTGACATTCAGTCGGACACGTGTGCGTGCAAAGCGAAGTCGTTTGCACACATTTTTTCTCCCGACGGAGTTAGAAGCGCGTGAAATTGTTATACGATCGCGAGCCGCGCTACCTGCCACGCACCTGTACGGTAATCTATCATCACAGGGACTAAAGCGATATTATAGCAATACACGTCCGAGGTATCAACCGCAACGGAGAATTCGGGGAAAAAATTGCCAATATTTTTGTCGTACATCTTTCTGTCGGGTAAGACGACGATAAAAAGTCGTTGCACTCGCACGTGCTGTTACTCGATTCTTACCGCAAGCAAAGCCGCGGGCTGCGGCTCGCAATCGTGAGCGTTTGATGCGCCTTCAACTTGGAGAGCCGGAAGAAAACGTGTGAAAATCGTTGTGCAAACGTGAGCGCACGTGTACAAAGGCGAGAAATCGAAGCGCGAATTGGAGGATGACGCGCGGCGGTCGCGCGTCTTCGTTTGTTCGGCCCACTTCGCGTTGCTCAACGTGACAGCCTCGACGTGACGGCGCGGAATTACGAAATGACGGGGACCCGGCGCGCAACGCGCCGGTGTTGTCGCTAAAACGGAATAATCGAGCACGCGTGTTTGCGCGCTGATTCCAGTAGCGCGGTGTAGCTCTTCTCTCTTCGCTGTCTCTCCTTTATTGCCGTTCCCGCGTCACCGCGAGACCTTCGACACCGAAGCGAGACGTCGTTAAGCGGCGTTAGTTACGCTCATCTTAACATTAGCTCCGAGACACGGACGAGAAAAATGCAACGCTCACGGTCGCTATTGTGGCTGCGGCGGTGCGACTATCGATGCGAGCGCGAGGACATCGAGGACGACGACGATGACGACAGCGTCGCTTCGCATGAAAGCATCCGGCAGGATGAGGAAAGCGTTCATACAGATAGAACAGAGTGGAGAAAGATAGAGAGACAGAGCGAGAGAGTGAGAGAGCGAGAGCGAGAGAGCGAGAGAGAGAGAGAGCGAGAGCGAGAGAGAGAGAGAGAGAGAGAAGCCACGAGCGCATAATGTTAGTGAAAGGATCGTGACTTTGCCATTGGTCTCGAGGAAAACCGCCGCTATTATGCGCGACTCGCGGTCCTTCGCACGACCGGCTGTTCACCTATGACAGCCGCGAACTCGGTTCGAGACGGAAACGCCGCGGAGTCCTCGCGCCCGCGGTGAAACGAGAACGATTCTCGTCCTGGTAAGGCCGGCCGTGCGATTTCTCTGCGATTATCTGAACGGCGAATATGCCACTAATCTGATATTTCGAGACATCCCGCTCCGGTGGGATCGCGCTTTTCTTTTCTTACTCTTATCTACGTGAGAAAAATAAATAACACGCTTCAGGACTCGCGAGAGTCCTTTGGCTAATAATGATCAACGTGTTGCCGAGCAGACTCGGCATTTCGCGGCTCGATATTGAGATGTAAACCCGACGAGTCGAGTCTGTCGCGCCGCGACGTACCGAGGACGAGCCTCGTCCATTTTCCGTGCGAAGGCGCACGGAGAGATTACGTTCTTACGCGACCTTGAAGTCTCCGATCGCCGCGATTACACCGCATCTCGAGTCCGAGCTGCGAGGAAAAGAAGAATACGATGCAGGTTTCGTTCGATGGTTTCTCACGTGGAGATCTCGTTGCGCTTCGTAAGGTGGCACTTTTCCGAGGTCAGGATCTTCGTCTCGTTCGCGAACAGCGTCTTCGTCTCGTCCGGACACAGGGTTATGCTGCGAAGGAAGGAATAAGAAAAATCATCAATTGGATGGTCAATTCACTATGCGCTGCTGACGCGAGGCCGCATACTTGCGATTTTGCTCGACCTGTACCTGTGATCGGTCTCGAGGTTGTCGATGGTCAACGAGTCCAAGTAGACCCGCGACTGAAACAGCCGCCACGTGAGCGGGTTGAAGAACGAGGTCTTGTACACCCAGGTGATCTCCGCCGACTGCGGCTTGTCCACAATGTTCCCGGGCAGCACCACGGTGTGCGTGCTGCCTGGCTCGTAGTACTTGGATGTCGAGCTCAGCTGCATCCTCTCGGTCTTCTTGCCGTTCGCGCCGATCACGAGCACCATGAATACGCCGACCTCGCCGCCATGCGACATGCTTTCGTTCGTCTTCGAGATGTTGATCGTCACCTTATAGTGGGCTTCTGCGGACACAACGCGAAATCACGATTACGAGATCGATCGTCGCGACCAGCTATCGTCGTAATGAATAAATTCCAGAGATTTTCCCAGAGAAGAGAGACGCAGCTCGCGACGATGACGAAGGAACCGTTATACTAACTGCAAAACGGCTTGGAGCCTCCGGTCATCAGGTACACGGACGCTTCGTAATTTCCAGGTTGAGCGTCCAGCCCGAACCTCGGGCAGTATTGGTTTTTACAGTCGAAGCAGCCGCCCTCTTGAAATTTGTCCCAGGAACTGCAGGGTATGGCTAAGAACGGGCACGGGCTGTTGATGCTCTCGATGAAGTACTCGTAGCTGCGGATGTGATTGCAGCTGAGAAACCTCTTGATTCCTGAGGAGAGAAAAGGCCGCAGGACACGGCGGTTAATCTCTCTGCTTCCTCTCCCCCTTCCCCCTTCGCGCGAGCGAGCGATCGATCACGGCGGCTCTATTAATTCCAAGTGTCTCGCACTTTCGATGCAGGCGCAGGCGACTTGAAATTAGAAGGGCACGCTTAATTTTCACGCTCAACTTTCGCTCAACGTTCGAGCGCGCGCTGGAAACTCACCTAGAATGAGACTGCCGCGTTCCATGCTGATGGAATTGAGCACACCCTCGTTACAGCCGGGCTGATTGCGGCCGCCGTTCGGGTAGAAATCGATGTGTGCCACCGGTTGCGTGATGCCGAGGCCGCCGCTGATAAAAGGATTGCAATCGGTATGAATGGCCGTCACGAACGTGGCGTCAGTCGGATCCAACCGGACCAGCGGCGAGGTGTTGCTGAAGTGCGGTTCCGCCGGATCAAGGCCTTGCCGGTGAAAATGCAACGTGACGAGTGTTAACGTGGCGAGCGTAATGTCGCGCAGCGGCGCGCGATCATTGCGTTATTCGTCGCACGAATTTGGAAAGGAGCGCGAACGACGGACGAATTCGACGGCTCGTCGTCAGTGGAATAAATTCGTGCCGAAGGGAACGGCCCTCGCATTCGAATAGGAACGACCAGAGCGACTTGTCATTCTCTATCTATCGATGTAATAAATCTGAGACTTGTAGCGAGAGAACAAGAGCTCTTGCTGTGGGAAATTGCGACGAAGCGTTTGAAGATTCACCCTCTCTCTTTCTCTCTCTCTCTCTCTCTCTCTCTCGAATCTGCCTGTGCGAGACATGAGAGTGATTTTATCGTGAGAATGAATTTCACGACACACGAAAAAAGATTCTCCCGTGTCTCGTGGAAAGATCCTCGAGTTATCGCAATCTACATGTTTAATAATGTGTGAAACCATGACAAACGTCGCGAAATATCGAGATGTACCAACACCTGTTTGCTCGCAATGCTCGCGTTGCGCCACGTGTAACTAACGCGTAGCGCGACGAGAATTTCGAATTGGCCTGTTCGGGGAATCGGTCGCCGATAGAACGCGATTTCGTCAGGCGAAACTACCTGCGTAGGACCTGCTCCTCTCGGCGAATCTCAATGGCCAACTTGTAAGATACAACATGATGCGCGCGCATAATCGCGTAAGGATTACCAAATGCCGCGTCGTAACGCACTGCGCGGGCCGCGGTCGTTAGGCTCGTGTTGCGCAAAGGCGGAAGTTATTTTTCGGTCTGTCGAGACAATAAATTAAAAGTTTAGTTTGCGTAGAAAACAAGCCGTCGTTACGGCACTCTCGTATCGAGGCAGCTGTCTCTCCCTTTCTCTCTCTCTCTCGGACATTCTTCGTGAGATTCTCCCGCTCTTGCCGGAATGAATGAAGCTCTTCAACGTACGACGAATATCTCTCAGTTCTCAGCTGACTTTATTTGGTATCTTTTTTCTACCTGATATTCCGAAGTATTTTTTATTCGGTTATCAAGAAAAAAGACCCACGCGAGAATATCGATTTAACCTCTCTTCTCGAGCATCCGCGCGTTCTGACGAAAAAGTTCCTTTATACGTTCGAACTTGCTCGCGCTATTCCGCGCGCCTTCTCACGTAGTGAGTCTTCCAGCCGAGCAAGGACCATTGTCTACCTCTCGTCCTTATTCGGACGAGGCAGCCGTCTTGCTGCCACTTCTTGGGTCCGCGTGCGCTCTTATTCCGGTTGTTTACCGCGATCTCGTCTTCGGGCGTGTCTAGGAGCACGCTTTCCTCTGCCATCCTGGACGCGCAAACGAGGTCCCGTCGACTAACCCGGCGGCCGAGTCGACGAAACTCCCCTCGTTCTGGCCAGGGGTTGTCCCGACCACGAGCGGCACCGAGGCGCCGCGCCGAGGCGGAGAGAGGGCGGCTATTCGCCAGCCCCGCGGTGAATTCTGCGGCTTGTATTGCAGCCATGACGATTATATCCTCCCCGCCGTTCTCTCGTTAACACACTTCGCGCCTTCTTCTGTTATCCTGGTAGTTCCCGATGGGATCGATAGCTTACGTAACGCGGAACCCCGTCCGCCGCCAATCGGTCGCGTTCGATTGCATCGATTGCGTCCATGGGGGAGGGAACGGGGAAGGGGGAGGGAGGGGTAGGAGATGGGAATTTCGTGCGGCGCTCAGCGCCGGCGGCTTCATCCTCCCCGGGTGGCTTCATCCTCCCCTTTATCGCGCGACAATCGTCATGCGACTTACGAATCACGCGATCGGCAGGCGGAGGCGGAGGAGAAGCCAGAGATGATCATCGTCGTTTTTAATTTCAGCGCGCACCGCTCGTAAAAAGCGCGCTCGAGCGTAAAAAACGCCCGCTCGCTCGCTCGAGCGAGCCCGAGTCGCGAGTTATGTGAAACTACCGATGGATACAAATCAGAAGGTACAACGAAAGTACTTGGCCGACGATTTTAAAGTCGTTATACGCGCGTCGTTACGTTTCCGTCCGCTTGTTGTCGGCCGCCGTGCGTTCCCGCGTCTGGAAAAAAAGTTTCACCGATCCTCCTCGAACGAGCGATGAATTCTCCGGCTCCGGCGAGGCCTCTGCGAGGGCGCGGGTCAAGAAGAAGCGCGATCGAACGAGCCTGTGCTTGCTTCTCTCTTTTTTCTCTCTCTCTCTCTCTCTCTCTCTCTCTCTCCTTCTCTTCTCTCGCTTTTCTCCTTTTGTTCGCTTGTTTCCGCAGGATTCCGCGCCTGTGCGATCGCATTCTCTCGCGCTCGAGCCTCTCCTGCGACGACTGCTACCCTGGTCGTTTGCGATTCAATCGGCCATCTTCGTAATCCTCCGAGCTGTCCGCGGCCGCAGGAGGGGGACAAACGACTCAGTCGACATTGATTATTTGGCGGTCGGACGCGTGAGCGACAGGATGAGCGGCGGGGGAAAGAAACGCACGAGCACGTGCGCGGGGCACGTGTGATTGTGATAACGCGCCGGGACGCGCGTCGGACGCTCCTTCGCGATTTGCATATTCTCATTACGTCGCACGCCGCGACGCGACATGTTTTCCTTCTTCCTCATCTCACTACGCGCTGTCGCAATCGCCTCTGCAGCCTCGCGTCCAGAGGCTCTTGGCAACTTCGCTGTCGCAATCGACCTCGCGCCTCGTGCCTCTCCGGCGGATAATCTCGGGGGATTATCTTATCACCTTTTACGACGACGAATTAAGTCAACCCCCCCTCCCCCCCGACATCGTGCAAATTTGCCAAGTATTTTGCAACAGTAATCTCACCATCGGTCACGGTAGAGACCGCAGAATCGTAAGAAGGATTATATAATTAAAGTGATCCCGCGAGCGAGGAACACGCGCGATACTTTTCCCACAGCAAGAGCCCGAGACGAGGTATTTGTCTCTTTGAAAGAAATAATTTTCCCATTGAATCCATTCCGCCTTTTCCGACCCTCCCGTGTCGTACAACGTCGTTGAGAAATTATTTCATTCACAGACACCTCGCGAGTTTCAGAATCGAACGATCGATCGCGACACGCGCTTGGCTCATTAGATGTTGACTCTAATTAGCGAATCTCGCGCGGACTTAACAACGCAGTCTCACCTGTGATTCGCCCGAGGATGTGATTGTAGCTCGTCCTCAGATAGTAACCCACGTAACCGGCGGTGTGAGCACCCAGGCTGTGTCCGATGATGTGCATCTTCTCGGGCGCGATCCCGCCGACGGTGATGAGTTGATGAGCCAGGCGAGCCGTCATCGCGCCCACCAGTCTCGTGTTCGCCACCGCCTGCGTGTAGGGTGGTTCGGCTCCGCGGATCCAATTAACGACCGCTACGTTGCAGTCTTCCCGTATCAGCAGCTCCTTCACCATCCTCTGTCGAGACGTGACGTCAGAAGTGTCGTGTTTATCGCGAGCCGAGAACTCTTTTTCCCCGAGCGACCGCACGAGATACGCTCAAACGAGCGAGACGATGTTTACGCGCACGCGAGCACGAACTTCCGACGAAGTCGGATACGAGGGAGATGAATATTTTCCTTCCAAACCGGCCGAAGAGAGCCGCCGGCTCGAATTAACGCGCACGCGTCTACCAAGTCGAGCTCTATTCGAGCGCCGGATGAGTCAAAGCCGGCGGCTTTTTGTCGCGTATCTCGAAGCTTGCGAGAGAGCTTTTTACTCCTCACGAAAGCGAGGAAACGCTTTCGCGCCGCTCGGGGAAAATTCATCGTTCATTCATGCTCACCAAGATCCAAGAGGTCTTATCGCCGTTCTCGAGGAATCCGTGAATGATGAAGTACAAGTTTTTGTCCTTCTTCAGAGGCGCCTCCTGGATCGTCTTGAAGCGATCGATCTTCAGCTTATGGTAGTGCTCGCCCAGCTCCCTCGTGTAGAGGAGGTAACGAGGGTTGATGACGTCCGGGCGAACCGGGAACATGGACACCGGCCGTTTGTCCCCGGACCAGGGTGAACCGATGTAAAAGCAGCCGTACGGCACGTAGCATCGCCACATGTACCATTCTGGTGGATGGAAAGAGAGACACGCGGCGGTGTTAGACGCGCCTGCGACTCCGCTGGTACGCGTCTGTACGTATCGGGCTGTCATATACGAGGCGGGCGCGGAGAACGCCAAGCGGAGTCTCGAAAGAAAGGTAGAGTCGCGGTTCCTGAACATGACACTGGCATTTTCTCCCTAATAACTTCCCGATAATTAATTCTCTAATCATCCCCTGATGGAGCTCTGCGAGCACGAGCGATCGGCGCAATGTCTGAAAAGCGCATTTCTCTCTCTCGACGGAGGGATCGCGACTCGAAAATGCCGAAGAATGAGGTAAAGGAAGTCGGTAAAACGCTCGTTGGCCCTCCGTGCGCGCCCTTTCCGAACGAGCCGACCCGAAGAACCGGTCCGAGATTGCGCGACGTTAACGATCCGCCGGCAATTTGACGTACAGTTTCGGCGCGGCGCAGAGCGACCGCGCGGTTCTTACGTCCTCGATCCGAGCGTATCTGAGTTATTGGAGTTTCGCCGTTCCTCGTTACATCGACGACGGGCTTCGAGCCATTACGAATTGCCGTACTCGCGAGGGGTTATCGGCGCGTCCGCGATATTTCTGTCGGCCGGCTCTATCAGTTCCTCGAATACTACGTGGATGTTTCGTCTTCGCGGCTTGAATCGGCGATTAGCGCAGTACGCGATCGCCGGCACGTGACGCACCCTGACCCTTATTTCCTTTATTTCCCGCAAAGAGCTGATTTTCTTCCGATAGCTCGCCTCTGAAAGCTGCTCTTACTCGCTGAACCCGATGTCATCTTTCCGAGTCGAGTGTGATTTTGCGCAACGCCCGGGGACGTCGAGTTTGTCAGAATCGCCGTTTTGCATTTTTCTCCGGTTTTAGGCTGAGGGTTGTTGTCATTCTAGATGGATCAAGTCGCAGTACTTACCGTCATCCACGCTGAACTTGTTCTCCTTCTCCTCCGGTGACAAGGTCGTGGTGCTGATGTTCTCGGTTGTGGTGACATTCGCGGTGTCATTCAAGTTGACCATGATGTTGGCCGCTTGGGCCAGTATGAACATCTCTTTGAGGAACATGTTTGTCGCTCGAGTCCCTGACGATCACTACCAGAATCACTACCGTCGAGCAAGCTACTAACTCGTAATGTACAGTTGCCGCGGGTGCTTCGCACGTAGCGGCCTTGCTTCGTAATCGCGCTACGTAAATGTTAGTCACGTTATCACAGTTTCAGATCGATGTCTCTGTCTCGTGTTTGATTGTAACTGTACGGACGGCGAAACCGGCCCGGGAACCCTCGGGGCGTGTCCTTTCTCGACTCTTCACTTTACAGCAACTTCACGGAAACTACCTGGCGGTTATAAAGACCGAGAGTTCTAAACTCTTTTGTAGCGTTGTCGGAGCGATTGGTGGGGCGCGCCTCGTCCCGATTGTCCTCGTGTCGATTGTAGAAGACGTTCCCGGCACTTTCGACCTCCCGACGTCTCGAGATCTCGTGAGCTCTTCGTATCTCAAATGTCCGTCCCGTCGGCGGGGCGATTCATCACTGCTGGCTACTGTGTCAGCCGCGTGATATCAGTGATAATAATGAAAAATCGATTGACGCAAAATCAAGCGATAGCCGCGACGCGGCTCGTGTCGGCTACAGTCTCGATATTCAGCGACCGCTTCGAAATAAACGCGCTTTTTATATCGCGCGGCACACACAAATAAACAGCGGCATATCGCGAGCCGTTAATTAGTCCCCGCTTCTCCGCAGAATAATCTCGCCGAGTTCAAAAAGTTTCTCGCTCGAGCTAATTGCTTAATTTTAGAGTGGAACCTCTGAATCGCGGTGAGCTCCAATTTTCACGAGTAATCTCTCTCTCTCTCTCTCTCTGTCTCCTTCTCTCTTTTCCTCTTACGTGCGAGTTTCAGCTCGAGTATATGTAATTTCAAAATCAGTCAGATAATTTCTTTTTAATATCGCTGAATCTCTCTGGAGATCTTCTCCTCCTTCTGCAATCACCGATCTCAAAGATCGCGAATGTGCCTTCAGCGGTTTCGCCACGCCACGAGAGGGATCGATGGGTTTCGCGAGAACGACGATCAAGCGCCGTCAATGATCCGGACTCCACTGATCGAGCGAGTGCTAATCACTTAAATTTCAGCTGACCGGCCCCGTACTTCATCTGGTCGTCGCATGCGTTTGTGCCCCACTCCGGGAGGAGCTCGACGGGAGAGACGCGCTCTCCTTCTCCGCTTTCGAGATAAGAGGAAGAAGAAGAATAAGATGTGTGGAAGTCTCATAAGTTTCTCTCTCTCTCTCTCTCTCTCTCTCTCTCTCTCTCTCTCTCTTTCTCTTTTCTTCCAACAATAAGAAGGAGACCATTTGGTCCTCCTTAAATTTGAATCTAACAGGACATAGATTAAATAGACAACAAGGTGCGACGACAATATCGCGGGCATCCTTCGTCTCGAGAAATTGAATAGTAAAGGCAAATTCCAAGGAGACGACATAATAAACAGAGTGAGCAGAGTGACAGATACAATCATATACACGAGAGAATCGAACCGAAGCAAGAACATTCAAAGTTCGAAATAAAGGACGCCTAACAGTCAGAGTAATTTAATTAAAATCACCTCCCCCTGGGGAAAACTGGCCTCCCGCCAAGACGAGCCAGGATCACCATGTCAATTTCGTAAAACGCTCGCCCTCCCTCTCTCTCTCTCTCTCTCTCTCTCTCTCTCTCTCTCTCGTCGAGTCCGTAAATCTTCTCCGGATTTTTTGCAACGTCAGCTATTACATGCTCGCGGATCGCTTATCTCCTCTACGTCGGTCAAACGCCGTTTCTGAGAAATCCCTCGGTCGCGCCTCTCGTACAGTTCCTATTCTCTCATTGGAGAAGATTTCATGCGGAATACACAACCCCCTTCGACTCTGCGAGCAGCAGGTGGCTGCAAATACACAGCACGGTGTATCCGTGGAATTCACGAGGAAACGTCGGGGAGCCTCAAAAGGGCCGCCCTTTTTGTGATAGCCGGCCGCTTCGTGGAAGCGCGTCAGGCTGGCCAGACGATGCGAGACGATAAATCCGCCGGTGGTCCGGCGGCTCCCGGCTAATTAAACCAGATCAAAGCCACTTAACCGCCCGTTAAAGTCGTCCTCGTTTTCCTCTCAGCGAAGTAGCGCGACCACCGAGTTTTCTGTATCGCCGGAGCGCCGCGCCGCCTCGGCGATCACCGTGACGGCCTGATGGCAAAAGAGGCCGCTACGAGAATTTCTACGGCAGGTAAGAGTCGGCAGGTAGGCCTTACGCCGGCATTCAGGTCGATTTTTGTTCACCCATAGCGAGGACGAGTCAGGTGTGTGCGCGCGCGCGCGCGCGTGCAACGCATCGATCGCGACTTTCGTGCTTCCGCACGGAACCGCGTGGTTCCTCGCCGTACGGCTGGTACCGTTCATCAATTCATCAGTGAATTTCCGCCGCTCCAAGGATGTCTCGAGAAACTCTTAAGCGGCGTGGGAAAGCCCGAGAGGGAGCGCGACATTCCTGAGGAGCGCTCGAACGACGACGCGCAAACGCGACTTTGTCAGAGAGTCTCGTTTGAGCGAGTCTACGCTCGCTACGTCGACGTTATTGTTATTAGCCGACTCGGTTGGGGCAGCGAGCCACGTGGCTCGCAGGACAGGTTTCGCAGGCACACGGGGGCCGGCGACAAAAGGACACCTTTTCCGGCACGGCAATCGAAGCGATCGATATACGGGCGGGTCGGCGAGGGCCAAGTGCCCGTCGACGCCGGCACAGAATTGGCGCGCCGCCCCAGTACGGGGGGTGTCATCGAGCGGGGCCGGTTGCGTAAACGGAAACCCCACGGTATTCCAGCATCCCCCTTGGCGAGTCACCCCCTCGGCGTGAATGGCCTCCTGGCCGATCGTGTATTCCTAATACCTCGCACCCCTGAGACGTCTCTCGTGTTTGCTCAGGGGATGTCGCAAAATCACCCTGGCCGCAGCCACGCGCGCGCCAACGGGTCGACGGACGCGAGTCCGGCGCGAGCGGATCGGCGCGGCGGCGGCAGCGGCCGCATTATAGCGGGACTCCTGGCCGTTCCTGCGGGCTTGATACCGGAATCGTACGAGTGTTGCATCGTGATTACCGCGAAAAGTATGAATGACAGCTGAGCGCGCCGCGATAGGGGTTGCTACCCTCCGACGTGCGAGACTCGCGACCCGCAGCCACCCCGACGCGATCCTCCGGCGCGCGCGCGCGCGCACCTGCATGCACCTGCGGCCTTCGTGAGATTCGAAGCAACTTTTCTCTCCGACGCCGTCAGGCATACGTAAAAACTACGTTCAACGATTATCTATGCATGCGAACACTTGTAATTCTATTTCTCAAGTTGTTCCCTCTCCTTCTGACTAGCTCTCCGCCACTCCAATCTATCGCGTTTTCGACAAAGACTCACTGGCTCGTTAATCGAAGACGGGGAAATCGATCGGCCGCTGGTCAATTAATTTCTTCAATAACCCAACGAGACGTCCGCGTCATCGACAACGAAGCGACGGAGATTGCGAGGTCGAGAGCAACATCGAGGGAGGTCGAAGCGCGGACGCTCAAGTCACGGTCGAGCGACAAGAGAGAGAGAGAGAGAGAGAGAGAGAGAGCAGCACTCTTGGTCGCTGCGAAATTAGTCAAATATTATTATCGCATCGATCCCTCCTGCTGGAAGGGAGCGTACCGCGGCGGCGGCGGCGGCAGCGGTGAGGTCGGACGGAAAGGGGGATCGAACGCAAACGCGTAGCCGCTTGTCGATGCGTGGGTAGCGGACGCGCCATAACGTTGGTCTTTAATGATACGAACGACGACAGACTGCCGTCCCCTCTGGCCTTGAAGGGGCCTGCAAGACCCTTGAAACGCTCCTGCCAACCCTTGCTACCCTGTTACACTGCCCTATCCAATCCCCATTCATTTACATGCGTCTCCGTGCGCAAGCGGCGTCCTTCGAGCAGCTGCGAGCTCGCCGGAGCGGTTTACCTGGCCGAGACACGCGTGTACGCGTAAGCGCGCCCCGAGGCGCGCCATTCCCCGGCTAAATCGAAGCACCGGCTTCGGCATTGCACGGCTAATTGCATATGTCGACACGCAGCTGCACAGCGCGGCGTAATCTCGCGTGCGTGTACGTTGCGCTTTGTTCGCAAGTCGCGGCTAACAATCGCAGCGCGATTCGGCGGGAGCGAATCGCCACCGCGCGTTAAGGGTGATTTACACGATGCTACTTCTGACGCTTGACGCTGGCTTCTCCTGGCTTCGCGTCAGGTTCCCGCTTTCCTGGAGCGAATTTCTGGCTGACAAAGTCGCAAGCGTTGGAGCATTTACACGATGTTGATAAACAGCGTTTAGTTCGCCAGCGTTTTAAGGAGAATTTTCAGCGGCGTTCAAGGAATGACGCCATGATCCTTTTAAGTTCAAGCTGCTGTCACGTGTGCTTTGTGTACGAGCTCTTCAAGCAGAAATTCGTGGCTCAGTGACAAAATGAAAAAAAAAAAGAGGAAAGAATGTGGGGACGTAAGTGGATAGGTAGAAGATGAACTCATGGAGCATCGAATAATCTTTCCGAGGAATTGGCATTGGAGGATCCAACCGCATACCGTAAAGTATTGCGATTAACGTGCGAGAAATTTGAAGAACTTTTGAAAAAGGTGCATCCGCTTATACAGAAGAAAGACAGTTTAATGTCGCTTGATGCGAGCGGTAAAAGTTGGACACGTTCAACCATAGCCATATAGCGACTAATAGACTAATAGCTGCGTCTTCCAAATTTTAGACGCCAGCGAGTAAAAATCGAGCGTTTAGAAAAAGTTTTCACCAGCGAATTCGCTGGCAACTTAACCCGTAACTGCTGTTCTCCGGTCAATTTGACCATTGCACTATTTGAAATTTAAATAACGCGGTTAATTTTCTAGTTGCGTATTCATCCGTCAGTGTATTTTCTTACATTCTGAATGTCAGTCGACTGATTGTGTGGTCGTGTTATTTGTCAAGACATTCATCAATTCCGTTTCCTACCGGTCAGTTTGACCGGTGGGAACAGTGTGCGCGTACTTAAAATTAGGCTTCACAGCAGTTACGGGTTAAGAAGCTTGCTCAAAGCGAGTAAAAAGCAGCATCGTGTAAATCACCCTTTACTTTTCCCCGAGCTCGCTTGGAATTCCGACTCGGACTTTGTTCGTTCCGCCGAATTATCCTCCCGTCCAAACGGGACACGCGGAGTGCCCCGCTCGTAAATATTTGCCCGACCCGTATTTTTCAGCGATGTTTTTCAGCGATATTGTCGGGACGAAAAAGTTGCTATCGAATTCAGTCCGCCTGTCAGCATAGAACGCAGATGTTTTGTTGAATAGTGCACGCGCGTATGACGCGCGAAACTGCGCTCTGTAAACATGTAGATCATATTTTTCGCCGACGTCGAAATACCGATTCGACGAAGCGTGCGTCAAATGCGTCCCCGCTATGAATGCACTTTGCGCGCGCTGATGTTACATCGTTGGCGGTAATAGAAGAATAATCCCGAGGCCAATGTACATCAGATAGCGAGAATTGCGTCGCGAGAATTGCGCCGTAGATCGGCGGATTTTCTCTCTTTTTTCTTCGCGCTCCCTTTTTTTTTGTTGCGAGCTGATAAAAACACCGTTCACATAATCGGCGAACGTGCGTTTCTCTTGATACGATGATGATAGGATTTCGCGTATATACGTTGACTCGCGGTGGTCTGCCCTTGATTGCCTCATTGGATTTGACATCGTGCTGATTCGTGCGGAAGGCCGTGGCCGATAAGCGTCGTTTCGTTTTCTCGAGAAACAACTTATCGTGCACAAGCTGAGCCCGCAGATAAGCTCGTGAACTTCGACTTTTCCATTCGGACGCGGGTGTGTTCGATCGGGAGATTATCCGTCGAAATGCGACGCGAACGCGAGGGCAAGCGGCAAAAATACTCCGATTCTCAATCGTGTAAATTGGAAACTGCGCGTCTGACGCGCATCTCCCTCTTCGAATAATTCCCGTAGAGGAGCTGACGTAAAGGACGTAAAGGCTTTCTTGAACGAGGCACGCACTTCTGCAGTCTTTTCTCAGACCACGACTGACTCGACGGAAAA